TAATAAACATTAAAGATAAAAAAATCTTGAGATTATCCTATTTAAGCCACTATGAACCCAACTGAGTATTTATTTATCAACCAAAAAAAAAATGTATAACCTTACTTCACAACCCGCACTTCACACGGTCATACTAGTGCAATATTAAAAGCAACACGCTTTTTTCCCGAACGGGTTGCGCGGAGCTTCGGATTATATTCCCAAGTCACAATGATAAAACTTTTAGCGTAGTTAGGTATAGATATTTAGTAATGCTCTTGAAGCGTCACTTGACGCCTGCGCATTAGACGCGCGGGTCAATATGCCAGGATAGTATAAATTCCATCGTATTGGATACTCACAACGCTCGTTGCCAGACACATGCTTGATGGCCGACGACATTGTGCCGAATACAATAACAAAACTAGGTATGTAGCAGTCTTCATTAAATAACATTAGACTAGCTTTAAGATGTAGGTACATAAGCTATTAATACTTTAACTAAGAATATTTTGACTGTGATGTCAGAATATGCTAAATATTTTTTTAAATTATTTAAAATTTATTTTTATTTTTTATATTGAATAAGGTTGACAAACGAGCATACAGTCCACCTGATGGTAAGTGGATGCTGTAGCCCATAGACATCTACATTTATACTGAATTAAGAATCAAAATGCAGATGCGTTGTCACACCTGAGGACTGAGATGGAATGCCTCGTTTCCAGTATAAAGGGTCTCCGGTTTCCCACACTCACAAACCGAAATACAACAGCATTAAGCTGCTATTTTACGTTGGTATTCTGTGAGAGCGTGGTCCTACCCCGGTCAGGTAGACTCATTCGTGCTGCTACCACAATATAGTTGCAACATGGCTCTACCACATAATTCAATATATTTATTGTGAGTTAAGTGTTACATTTAGCGTTAATTTAAAATATTATGTATCTTACAACTTAACCAACGTTTTTGGGCATTACAATAATAGGTTTGTGGCTTACATAACTATATTGATCATAATGGATCACACCAACATGCGCTAATTTGACAATAAAACCTATATAGCTTTAAAGCTATTTTTATGAAAATGACAATAGTTTTTGTTTCATCCAAATTGGTGCAGAAATACGAAAGTTATAACGTTTTGATGTTTCGCAATATTTTTTAATTTTTACCCGCTCGTTCTCTGTGACGTGACGTCACAATTCGACAGAACGAACGCGCAATAGGTACTTGCTAAGTTCAGTACTAACCGCGCACTCGAAAGTATACCGTCGTTTAGCTACATATTATATCGGATGTCAGAGTTAATGTCCGGTTGACTGTGTTACATGACATAATACTTAAAAAAACCCAACGACTATATAATAATTTATGAATAATCTAATCCATAGATAAATAAATATGTAGCAAGATCTAATCCAATGTAATCTATATTGTTTAAGATGAATAATTTAATCCTGTATTACGTGACATAATACTTATAATAAACCCAACGACCATACCTATAATAATTTTGAACTAATATTTTATGAATAATCTAATCTAATATGAATAATCTAATCCAATGTAATCATTATTATTTAAGATGAATAATTTAAGGTGGAAGCTCTAGCGTGGCCCGCGAAATTCAAATTTTCTTGCGTTTTTTGGAATTCGCAGGTCAGGGTTAGGTTGTATGTTTAAGAAAATATGATTCGCGACCGTAGCGATTATGTGTTTACAGAATTATTATCATTAAAATCACCAATACAACCCTGTAAGTTCATATTAGCCCTTTGAATGAGTTTTTCCAAAAAAACTCATTCAAAGGGCTAATATAAATAACCCTGACCTGCAAATTCCAAAAAACGCAAGAAAATTTGAATTTCGTAGGCCACCCTCGAGCTTCCACATTAATCCAATCTATTATTATGAATAATGTGATTAACGAACTATTAATAATATTTGACATTTGTATGCCCATGAGGCTGATCACAGACTGAACTTTATTTGTTTAAATAAGACCTTTTTGTAACCTGTCAATCACAAATAAACTATTTGCTTGATTTATAAACTAACGTATTGAACATTTAACTTTCATATCGACGCTGGAAAGGAAAAATTTTAAAAAATTTTCCTTTCCAGCTTTTTAAATTTTTTTTTTACGATGACTTTTGATGTCGCTTCGACATTTTGGAGTTCGCGAGATTTCACTTTTTCTTCCTTACTAACCGACTAAATTTTCGACCACATTTGAAAATTTGGTGGTTGACGTATTTGTGAAATGCTAAATTTGCCTTTGGTCAAGTTTAACATTTCTGTTCGTACAGTAATTACTCCACTTAGTAATTTTTTTCAGTATCTGGCAATATAGTGTTAGGCACATAGTATATTTTTTCCTCAGAAAGGATTTGTTGTTTTATCACTTAAGTAATTTTGGCTTATTTGTTTTTTTTTTTTTCCTACATGGCGTTTAGTTAAAATTGCCAGTTTTTTAGTAGATTTATAATACCTCAGTTAAGTATTATAAATCTACTAGTACAATACTTAAATATTGCTTTGTTAAAATTAATAAAACTCAAGACAGTTTAAATGCATTTTATTTACATTTTTTTTTATAAAATATTAATCCATTTTTCTGTAAAAATGTCGTTTATGTCAAAATTAGGGAAAAAATATATTATATTAATATTTAGGTTGTTTTGCCGCAACTTCCACATGTTTTTTATTTTGGTAAGGCAATTTTATCTAATATAAATTCTAAAAACAGATATATATTACATTTTTACCGTACCGTCCTTAATCAAAGCTTATCAGTTAGTCAATTTTTCCCGTCTCTACTTTTAGGGAAAATTTTACTAAGCGACACTAACTTTAAAACTAAGCATTATTTTTAATAGTTACGTATACTATAATGTTGATAAAAAAAGTTTCTAAGAACTAGGCTTTTTGGACCATTACAAAAATTTACACGATTTTTTTTTTCTGAAAATTCTAACTTTAAACAGCTCTACTGTAAAGTTAGTCTGATGTCGCTTGGATAATTTTTCCTTTTCAGCGTCGATATGATTATATTTATATGTATAGTCACGGTGTGTAGTGCTGTAAAAAAAAAAGAAAATGGAAGCGGGCTTTGAAAAAAGACAGTCAGATAATCTGCCAAAAGTGGATATTTTTATGGTTGCGCAGTATTTTTCAGAAAATTATGATTTTTAATCATTAGAAATGCATGGAATAAAGCTCCGAAGGTATAAAAGATTACGAAAAGTATATAGCTTTACTATTGATTAGTAGCTAGGCAGCAATACATAGGTAGGTATTAACTGATCAAACCACGAAGTTGCACATGATTTACAACGATATAAAATGGAAAAACTTACTTATACTTACTAATGCAGTGAGTATTAATCAACTCGTACTGTTATTTAGTACCTAGTGACACGTGAAGAAATTTTGTTGGTTACGTAGTTCGTCAGTGGTTACAAACATATGGTCCTAGTTTTACTTTGACTTACTTTTGAATAAACGGATTGCAGTATTACGTTGGTAGTTAGTACCTATTCTGTTTTGAAAATGTAATGGTCGCATACGTTCAATGCGTGTAATACTAAACTGTTTTTGATGAAATTTTGCATAAAGGTATAATGATTTACAGGATTTTATCTTCTCATATCGGACTTTTACAACAGAAATTAAAAAAATAATCAGAAAATAAAGGTAACTGATAAATAAATAACATGACAAGAAAAAAGTGGGACTCGAATCTACGATCTCGACGATTTTTATTTCTGTTCGACACGAAACCCCGTTTGGGTTTATCCGGCAAGTTAATACATATTATTGTTTCTTAACTTTATACAAACAATAATGAAACTAACATCAAAATGATCTTCACAACAATAAACACTACTGGTGGCTTCGACGTGTCGAATTGTGACGTCACATCGCGATGCAGAGCAAAGCGGTCGCCTTTACCGTAAAACAGCGTTGCCATATATACAGATTTCTCCGTATTTATACAGATTTTCGGTGCGTAATACAGATTAGCACTGGATACAGATTTTATACAGAGTTTTTTAACTCTACTGATTAAATTACCATAATATTCAACTTAAAACAGAACGTCGAGTCGAGTCGAGTCGAGGGATACTCATACCAATTTACCTGTCCGGTAGTTGTGGTATGGTATACGGGTATGCGACCCCGGCTTCCCTAGCTATTACTGTCCTATCCCGTGCCCTCCTGGACGGTAATATCTTACATTTCCTATTTCCTACCCTAACTTACCTTACTCTTCCTTTTCACACCACCTATCCTTCCCCTTTTCCTATTCCTACCCTCCGCCAATCCAACGTCTGCCGCGCGGATGGATGCATGGCTAGGGGCGAGCCTAGTCGTTAGCGTGCCCTGGGACCGGGCGACCCCAGAATTAGGCTAGCCTTACCCTGGCATGCGGGGCTCTGCTGGGGGGGACAAACCTTTCCCTCGCTATTCGTGGGGACGCAATGGATAATCGTAAAAATAATTTAATTAACCAAAATGGCGGCGATGTGGTTCGCCACCCATCACGTCTCGTTTCTCGCGGGGGCGAAAAGCGGCCCACGGAGAGCCGCTTCGCTACGTTGAATGTAAGAGGAGGAATGGATGGTAAGGTAGATGAAGTATGTCAGATGATGGATGAACGTTGCATTGATATTCTGTGCGTGAACGAAACCAAGAGGAAAGGATGTGACACCACGGTTCATGGCCCCTACACGGCATACTGGTCGGGAGTCCCCCAAACCAGCCGAGGATGTCAGGGAGTTGGTGTGATTCTTTCATCTCGAATGGTTGAATGTGTGATGGAGCATGAATGTATAAGCCCAAGACTCCTCTGGATTAGGTTAAAAGTCGGACTCACTCGCTTGTTTATCCTTGGGGTCTATGCACTGACGGACCTGCGTGGAGGTGGGTCATTAAAAACACAACAAGAGAGAGAGGAATTTTGGGATAGCATGAGAGAGGTCTTGAATAAATGCGGAGAAAATGAACGGATCGTGATGTTAGGGGACTTTAATGGATGGGTTGGAGTAAAGCGTGATGGGTATGAAGGAGTTCTGGGTACGTTTGGGGACGAGAGAGTGAATGACAATGGGAGAAGCCTGCTTGAAGTATGCTTGGAATGGAATCTGTGCGTGGCCAACACAATGTTTGACCACAAAAAGATCCATTTGTATACAAGAGATGAGGGTGAGTCTAGAAGTATGATTGATTTTGTAATTGTGGATGAAAGACTGAGGAAGAAAGTGCTAGACACTCGGGCATACCGCGGTGTAGGCCTCGACACAGACCACTTCCTGGTCATAGCCCGAATGCGGGGCCTCTTTAAACGGTGGCGACACCGAGTGCCCCAGCCTACGAGTGTTTTGGACAGAATAAAAGTGGAAAATCTACAAGAAAAAGAAAAGAAAGACGAGTATGTAGAGAAACTGAAAGAAAGTTTTAAAGGGATAGAAGAGATAGGAGTGATTGAAGATTTGTGGGAGACATTTAAGAAAGGGGTCGTAAATGTTGCTATTGAGGTATGCGGGGTAGCTAAAAGAAGGAAAGGAAGAAAGAATGATAACGTGTGGATGGATAAAGATGTACAAAAGGTTGTGCAAGAAAAGAAGAAAGCGTGGTTGGATTGGTTAGCAACAAAAGCTAACCAAAAAGTTCAAAAGGCAACGGATGACGAGATAAAGGAAGCAAGAACGAAGTATAAAAGATTGAAAACAGCAGCGAAAGAAATTGTGTCTAGAAAGAAAGAAGAACGAAAGGATGATTTCGATAGGAGGCTCACTGAAGATTTCCAGTCAAACATTAAGTTTTTCTGGAAAACCATCAAAACAGCCAGAGGAAAAACTTCTACCTCGGAGCTGAGTACAATCAGGAGTCAAGATGGAAGCATTATAAAAGGAGAAGAATGTGTGTTAAAGAGATGGAAAGAGTATTTTGAAAGTTTGTTTGAAAGAGAGGAAGTGCAGGTACAGCATCTGCCACCTTCCACGGAAACTAATATAAATGTTGATAAAAATGAGATAAGCATGGATGAAATAGTGAAAGCGTTGAAAAGTATGAGATTAGGTAAGGCTGCAGGGTATGACAGGATTACCGTCGAGATGCTGAAGGCTGGACAGGGCCTGGTGGCTAGTCAGCTGTACCACCTTTTCAATCTGTGCTGGCGAAATGGGCAAGTACCTTGAGACTGGTGCAAAGCCGTAATCGTGCCATTGTATAAGGGAAAAGGGTCACGGCAGGACTGCATAAATTACCGCGGTATAAGCCTTCTCAGCGTCGTCGGTAAATTGTATGCGAAAGTGTTGATTGAAAGGATTGTGAGTGAAACAGACAAGAAAGTATGGGATGCACAAGCGGGATTTAGAAAGGGAATGGGATGTACTGATCAGGTCTTTTCCTTGCGGTGCATAGCTGAAAAGTATTTGGCTAAAAACAAGAAAGTCTACTGCGCGTTCGTAGATCTAGAAAAGGCCTATGATAGAGTGGTGAGGAATGAATTGTGGTCAGCACTGTCCGTGAACGGTGTGAACAGTATCCTCTTACGAGCAATGCAATCTCTTTATAGGGATTCTAGTGCTTGTGTAAGGATAAATGGGGCATACACTGAATGGTTTAATATCGAAAAGGTGTTAGACAGGGATGTGTAGCGTCACCGTGGCTGTTTAATCTGTTCATGGACAATTGTTTGACAGATTTAAAAGAGAATGAAAGTGGGTTGAGAATGAATGAGTTACTCGTCAAATGTTTTCTCTATGCTGATGACCAAGTATTACTTGCGTCTTCGGCCGAGGAGTTGCAGGAGATGGTAACTGCTATGAGTGGAGCTTTTGTTAGAAAGGGAATGAAGATGAATGTAAGGAAGACGAAAGTGATGGTGTTTGAAAAAGATGAGGCAGTGACAGACTGCAACATTGTGATTGAAGATGAACAAATTGAACAGGTGAAAGAGTTTGTGTATCTGGGTTCAAAGTTTACAAGAGATGGAAAGTGTGAGAGTGATATCGAAAGAAGAGTGAATGCAGGAAACATGGTGAATGGAGCTTTGCACTCCTTTATGAGCAGTCGGAAGGTGTCTAACAAGGCTCGTTTGGCTGTGCATGAGGGGGTGTTGGTTCCGACACTCATGTACGGAAGTGAAACTTGGGTATGGCAGAAGAAACATGAAAGCAGAATAAATGCAGTTGAGATGAGAGCATTAAGAAGTATGATAGGAGTTAAACTGAGTGACAGGCTAAGAAATAGTGAGATAAGGAAACGTTGTGGTCTGAAAGAAGATGTAGTGACAAAAATTGAGAAAGGTATGCTGAGATGGTTTGGCCATGTCGAGAGAATGAATGAAGAACGATTGACGAAAAAGGTGTATAAGGCGAGTGTGAATGAAAGTGTTGGAAGGGGTAGACCTAGGCGGACATTTCTAGACCAAATCAGGGACGTCTTGAAAAAAGGCCAGGTCAAGAGTACCCTAAACCGTAGAGCATGTATGAAGGGAATAATGAAAGTGGACGAAGCAAAACAAGTATGTAAGGATCGTAGCAAGTGGAAAGAACTGGTCTCTGCCTACCCCTACGGGAAAGAGGCGTGATTATATGTATGTATGTATGTAAAACAGAACGAAGCAAAATATATGACTAGATACCGCGCAACACACATCATTGCATGATTCTATTTTTTATGGTTTTTTTGTTCTCAACGTAATTAGTAGTCTTGTGCCTGCTCGGTCATTTTAAAGATCGCTCCGTACTAGTTCATTACGGACAGTGAACTAGTTCATCCTATTAGTTCTATTAGGTCTATTCGGTCATCAGTACTACTAAGCATTTTAAACTGTATCTATCTGTAAAATTTGTGTAACCATTATTTCAGTCAGTGAGTCTCAGTCTCAGTCGTTCAAGATCTGTTCGAATAGTAATGTTGTATTATTACTCTTATAGAACACCATTTTACTCATCAATATTTGTCATTTTTAAGGCCGGCCTTATACATACGGAATTCCGTTTCGATATTCCGATTCGGAATCTCGAACGCAGCAAGTCCATATAAAATCTATGACCTGCCACACACGTACGGTATTTTTCCGTTCGAAATTTTGCGGGCAAAACGGGATACCGTATGTGTGTGACCGACCCGTTCGGAATTCCGAAACGGAATTCCGTATGTATGTATGTGGCTGGCCTAAAGGTAGGACTCGAGTTAGGGAGATCCAACTCGAGTTGTCCCATCACTAAATCTATAACTTCCATTCTTATTAGTTTGTGGTTTCTAGCTTGCTACATACATATTTATCTATAGTTTCTAGCTTGCTACATACATAGATAAGAGCGTAGAAGTAATAGTGTTCTGTGGTGTATATACGGAAAGCTAATAGCTACTGGCTACTATATGCCGCCTCCACACGCTTGGTGTTTGCCACACACGAACAAACACCGACCACATTCACCCAACACAAACACGGCATCCACACACTCGGCGAACGTGCTAGTATATTCCGGATAGGCAAACATGACGGATGACGAGCTTGGGGCAGCGATTACTTTCGGGTTGACCTATTTTTATTTAAAAATAAGGCAATATGAATTGCTCTCAAGAATCTCAAATGAATTCTCAATTATCACTGCTATAAATTGTCTTCAGGTTCAAATAAGTTTGGTTTGAACGCTTTTATTCGTATTGCATAACTGATTATTATGTAACACGTGACTCTAAATTAATCTAAAAACAAACTTTTATGAAATTAATGCTTGACTGGGGAATCGAACCCCGAACTTTCGTTCGACATTATATTGAATCTATTTACTTTTAACATAGATTATCTCTTTATTTGAAGCGCCTTATACAATTTAATAGCAATATTTTCAAAACACACAATTGTTTATTTTTTATGGAATGAAAATGATAAACTATTTTTTTAAGCGCTTCGCCAAAACTAATAGTAGTAATGCATATGAGCCGTTTTCTTCATAAAATGTTTATTTTTAACAGCTTACAATAACATTACAAAGATATTAATGCAGCTAGTCTTAGGTCTTTTCTATGAAAATGTAACGAAATTTTTACTAATCCAAGTGTATTTTATAAGTTGGTCAACTATTACTCGTTAACTTCTTGATTCTACGTAGCTGTGATAGTTTTCCTTTTAACTGCATTATATAAATATACTACTACAAACAACCATCCACACGTTCGTGCTTGCCTTTTTTTTTTGGAGTTTATGGCCTGGTATCTAGACCTTTAGGCCAAGTCTTATGTATTTTTATTCAGTTTATTGTAATTTCCCCACTCCTTCATAGTATACTGCTTCACAATATGTTGATGCGTCACATTGTGCAGTTCTTGGGAGATTTTGGCGGCAACTTGATCCAGCAGACAGCTGATAGTTGGCGATGGTATCTAAAGGTGCCTATGCAAACAAACAGCTTATCTTGAGAATCCATCACCATCAGAGCACTTGTTTCACTGTTTCCACTAATAGTTCACATGCGTAGACACTTAATACACAAAATCGCAACACTTTTACATATCAAAGTCCACTTCAAACCATTATTTAAACAATAATACAGGAGCAGCAAACCTTCGCCGGTCAATTTCCCGCCAAAACTCCTTCGTGCTTGCTGTTTGGTGTATGACACAGATAATTGTATACTAGTCAGAGAGTGAATGCTGTTCGCCGTTGTTTGGCAAGCGCACAAGCGTGTGGATGAGGCAATAGATAATACACTATATACCAGGGAGTGGCTACATATTTATTTTTATTTATCTATGGTTTCTAATTAGTATGTGAATAATATTACTTTATAACTATATATTTATTACATTTTATTTATATGGTTGATAATTTATGAATCCATGGATTCGTTTTATAATAATCCAATTCGGCAGAAAATAAACAAAATATTTGATAGTCATCTTATATCAGACAACAGTGAAGCTCTATATACAGTGTCAGGATTATGTTCAGCCAATTCAGCATACACAAGAAGGATTCTAGTTAACGAAATTGAAAAACGGGACTTATTAATCAATAAAGCTGTGCTTGTTGAGTACAATAAAGTTAAAGAGAAGTTACAGGATCTTTTAAATTCTATTTCTTCTTTAGATGTTGCAGTATGTGATATGTCAAACAGACTCCAAGAATCCAAAACCAAGACTCATCACATTATAACGCAAACTACTAAATTAAAGGAAGAAAGAAAAAAAACTAAAAAGAAGCTCTTATGGGTCAACAAATTTGTCGAAGAATTTCAAATTGCACCAGAACAGATTAAGATTCTTTACAATGTGCCACCTCTTACATTAAATTTTTTTAACACGCTGTCACAAATCGAACGATTACATGAAAATTGCAAAATCCTTGTGAAATACTGGTATCAAACACCAGCTTTTGAAATAATGGAAATGATTGGCCTCCAACAAGAAGTAGCAATTGAAAAATTATACCACTGGACCATTGGAGCTTGTCTTCTTGTTGATTCACCAAATAATGCATTAATCCCAAAATCATTAAGTAAGATTGAAAACAGGCAAGTTCTCTTTTCAAATATAATTGATGAGTATTGTTCTGCACGTAAAGCAACTGTTGTACAATTATTTATTGATATTCTCACCAAAGGTAGTGATAATGGTTCTAAACCTATAGAATTCTATGCTAATGATGCTAAACGGTATATTGGAGATATATTAGCATGGGTATACCAAATAATACCTGTAGAAAAAAATAATCTTGTAAATATATTCAAATACTGTACAATGACTGATAAAGAAGAAAAAATAACAACTGCATTGATTAATATTATAGAAGCATTATGTCCCTTGCTTAAAGTCAGAGCAGAAGTCATATTAACACCAGATAAAGATTCACTGGTGCTATGGTCAATAACTAATTTAATTATTTACTACAAGAATAATATAGAATCAATAACAGCAAAGGGTCATTTGGTTGAAACTTTGGATGAGTTAGCAAAAAAAAGTCAAGAGATGTTTCTTATAGCTTTGGATAGTAAAATGCAAAAAGAATTAAGTCATGGTGTGAAAGCACCTCCTTTGGACTTAAATCCATCTATAGTTGTGACAAATTTAATCAGCTTTTTGAGAGATTTAATGAGTTTATCAAGTAATATTAATACAGATGACAAAAAAATTATAATTACCCATATTTTAGACCCATTACTACATGCTATTAATGAAACTG